ATGCTTTCAACACAGGAGAGATATCACAAAAACTTTTTAACGAACGATAATTAACGACGGTATACATTTAAGCATCAGATTGAAAGTTTACTTGTGTGATTTGGACGCCATAAAAATTTTACTGAGATTATTGAGATGAATTTATAAGTCAAGATGTCTCCGGTTTATCAATGCATTCAATGTGACGTTTAGGAGCACTAATTATTGAATCTCGACGGATAACTTTCACTCGGCTTTCACTTGGCATCTTTCAGGGCTATGAAACCCTCCCAATTACGCTGCGAAAGCTCAAGGTCCCCACCCAGAACAAGTTTACTCTCAACAATTAAAAAACTATCCATCTTAATCTAACAGCATTTATTTGTAATCCGAAATTAAAAGTAGCAAACAAAGGGAACTTCTCTCTAAAAGTAAAACTACGAAATTTTTAGCACGAATTTAATGTCTTTTCAAATTGACCTGAGTAATCTCAACGTAGGTCGTTCTAAGGTAACTTATTTTTACCAAACTTTTCACGTTCTGCCCACGCCTAAATAATATTGCACAAGATCAGAAAACGAACGCAGACACCAAGGTAATTGTACAACGAATGAAACCTACGATGCATGGCGCATCAAACCAACATTATTTTAGGTGGTGATAAAACATGCCAAGTTTTGTGTTATCTTGGGCAAGATGTGATCTGTTGTGGGTGAAACAGGCGTTGTGATCAGTTTCGAATTAACTAATAATATCTAGAGGATGAAGTTATAAACCTGTGAAGTTCACAGGAAAGTGACTCAATCATGAAAAAATATTCCGTATGGGGTGGATATCCATAATTTGTTTAGTTCAGTTCAAGTCAACTGTCTGCCTCATAATATTTTACCAGAGAGAAACAATTTCAACCTGTTTAATTACACGGCATTATCCTACCCTCTAAAAATTTACATCTGTCGCTGAACTTATTCAAGAAGTTGGCAATGCGTGATTTTTCACACTAAATATGGTCACATGAGAATACAAATATAATATAAAAATTTGACGATTTCAATTGAGCCATACCTGACTTCCGACGTCGTTGTTTGTCAAAAACGGCGATTCTCTGCTTGCCGATAGCCGGGCCGCTTATCGTCGGTGCTTTGCCACTTTTTTCTCTCCGTGCCGGTACATCCCTATTTTCACCAAAGGCCAAATTGTGTTATATCACAAGTTGTAGGATTTCAATGTAAATATCGGTTTAAGTATTTTGCTAATGTTGACTACAGCTCAGAGTACACAGTGAATAAAATTATGGCACCAACAAACAAGTATATTTATGGCAATTTGACTGACGATGAGGTGCTTCGCTTACTCGAAGATAGCTGAAGACTGAAACCGAGTTCAACTCTTAACCCTGGTAAAGAACGGTTAGAATCTGTTGCAGAAGATACCCGGGTATACATTATTCCGTTGAACTAGTTGAAAGTAAGAAGAGACGGGAGCTAAAGCCATTGGATAGAGAAGGATGAAGAGACTGGGAAGCAAGCAGAGCACAATGCCATGATTTGCGAAACGGGAATTTGCGAATTTTGGAAGGCTGCTTATGCATGGCGTGGTTTGCTTCGCCAAATCCACAGGTTTCGTTGTGTAGTGCATTCGTGCACGCAGGTAATGTGGACACGTTAGCGATCAGCAAGCTTAATATATTTTAAAACTGTGTACATAATTATGATGATGCATTTTTTTTAAAACGGGGTGGCAGAAAAAATTCGCCCAACCTACATTTTGAATTTGTTGTGATATCCCACGCAGATTTTGCTGTGATTATTTATCCACACATTTTTGGCAATTTACACTTTAATTCCGCATCTTTATATTCAGTTTGTATACATGCAATGTCTCAAAAGTATATACGTCTCAAAAGTTTAAAATACGACGTGGAACGGCTGGATACCCCTCGTTAAACTTGAAACTCCAACTCAGATGGCAAAACGAGGACTTTAAAAATCCAAGTAATAAATAAACTGGCATCCCATACGACCGCATTCAATTCACAGTTTTTGTTATGTAAGTTGGAGAGATGAATGGTTGATCATTTTGCTTTATGTGCTCCTCACCATCGCAGATCTGCTTTGGGCTGGTTCGTGTTCACATTCCAAGTTTGAGAACAAACGACATGTTTTTCTTTGCACCCACCAATCGAGCTATCGTAAATTCGACCAGAAATGTTGTCAAACTTTCTCAATGAAAAAATATCTGAACTTTCTGCAGACATGCGTGCACTCTATTACGATATTGGCTTCGTAGAAAAATAGCGTGGCAGAAGACCTAGTGGTCTGTGGTCAATATCTGTAGAATTTAATTATAGAAAAACTTTTGACATTTAACAATTTTAAAATGTTGAAATGAATGTTCAATTTAAATCATAATTAACGAAGCAAAGAGAAAGCAGGAGTAAAAATACAACAAAGGCAAGGCCTTCGTCATGGTCGTAACGGCGTCATTAATATGAAGTCGTCGTTTGAAAGAGACCAAGGTGCGGAGCCAAGTGAAATAATTCGAGTACTAATCATGTCTCATCGTCATACTCGGAAAATGATAAGTGGAAGCCTTGGTTTTTGCATATGGTTTTAGCGTCAACATAATCTGCCTGAACTATTTCGTTCATTTCTACGACCGTGTTTATTCCTTCGATATGAGTTAAACCCCAACTAATTATTTTTTGCGACACCAACTAGTCAGCAAAATCTGGATGACAGTTCCATGATGGCAGTGCCATCATGGCACTACTAGGAATTTTCAAAGCGAGAATTTTAAATCTGTGGTATGATCTAATCAAGCTTATTATTTCCAAATATAAATTGTTCACTGACGACACTTTTTGTCGGCAATATTTGATCTCCTGACAAATGTTCCAAGAATATTTTCTCAGTATTGAATAACAACCTTCAGCTATTATAGATGACATAATGACGGTATCGTTAATAAAGTCTCGTTGAGTCTCTGATTTAATCATTCCATTCCACCAAATAAAACACTTATGCATCTTGAACCACAAAGCTTGAGACGGATTTTCCCTAAAAGTAATAAGTCTCGTCGAAATATAAATCGCAGGATTTGACGATTGTGGTCGTAACCTTGCCCTTTTTATCTCTGTGACTCCTCTGTTATGACAGCCACCAAGTTTTTTAGCATCTTATGAAACCATCCATAAAGAAGCGGTCAACGATCAGGCTCATTCATTCACGGCCAAGGTCCAACCTGACCCTGAACAACTATTTTGATAATCCGATTCTAAGTGAATTTCGGGTGGTCACACAGAAGTGCACTTTAACGTCCATTGATTCTGTCCTTGAAGATATGTTTATAGTGTGTCTTTCTATGGATGAAGGGTTTTGTGATGATGGCGATAAAGGTGGATTTTAGTGGCAATTAGATCGTTTTGATGTAATGATGAGGGGCGAAGAAAACGAAGCGACCCAACCTTGACTTTCCCCAAAAATAAATAAACATTGCAAAGAAATACCAAGTCAGGTTCTTTTCCGCCTCTAAAAATTACTCGAATCGTGCAAAACTTCAATTTCTGACCCAAATTCTATACCATTTCATCACAAAAGAATCCTTGTTCGTTAAAAAATTGAAGATTTCACGGGAAACTGAGGCGCGTGATGTCCATTATGAGCTAGCTAAATACGGATGTGTGTAGTTATGTAAATTGGGTGCCAATCATTTTCCGAGAAAAGTGCACATTCTGCAACCTACTAACCTTAAAAATATTCGTATTTACGAATGTCAAGTTCCTCAGCTTATGTTTTGCATACCATTAGACATACACCTAAATTTAAATTTGTTCATTAAGTACTTGCTAAACTCGAGTATTTAGTGCATTTGTAAACTATCGCAACTTGAATAACTCCAAAATCAGTGTTTCTTTTTGTGCGCACGAAATTATTTTTATGCATGCATGGTGCATAAAAATGCACAAAAATGCATAAAAACGCCTAAAAATGCACGAAAATGCACGAAAATGCATGAAAATGCATAATAATAAATAAATTGCAATTTATGCAGGAAATTTCATATTTTCAAGAAATTTTATATTTTCCTACCCTGTCAAATGGGGGTAAGATTCAGTTATCTGAGCCTTTACACTGGTTCAAACCTTACCACACCACTTTGTAGCCCGAGTCGCAGCTTATGTATCCATCATAGTTGCCATTGAATGCGCTAGCAAAACTTATCCTATCTAGGTATTTGGAATTTGGTACACATATCGAGTAACACGGAATTATTATTCGGCAAGAAAATTTCAAACAAATGACACGTATTTTTTTGCTATAAAATACAAGCACGTATTCAGCCGTTCATTTTTTGTATTGAAGAATGAAAAATATTTATATACTAAAAAATACTAAAATGGTGAGGAAAATATCATAAATAGCACATCGATTTCTCAATTAATCGAATATTTAGAAAAATTGCATTATTCCAATATTATTTGTACGTAAATTATTTTCGTGCATTTTCGTGCATTTTCATGCACTTTTTCGGATTTCTAGTGGGTGTTATTAAACGTTTAAAAACATTTTCGTGCACTAATTTCGTGCAGGTGTTATTTAACAGCAGAAACACTGTCCAAAATACATAGCACGAAAATTAATTCCTATTCCACATTTTCAACTAGATTTTGGTCATGGTTCGTGTGTAAATTTCTACGAAATCCTCTAATAATTTCCAATGTCTGGTTTGGATACCTTACACTCCACTAAAATTGACAGAATTTATCCCTGCTCGCTTGTACATAATTCATAAGAATTTGATTACTTTCTCCTGCTGTGACGAATGTCAAAATATGTCGTTCCTAAATTTCTTCTTCTACATATTTTCTTGGTCACTACACAAAGCGAAACGGCCTTAATTGTCTCGCTCCCGTTGTTGGGAAGAAAGACAACAAAATTTAAAGGTCATCACGTCACAACGACTTTAATTTCAAGGGGAATATGTAGTGAAAGTTTGCACTTTATGGCAAGTTGCTTAATAAATAAGACATTGCTACGTTAAAGAACTTTAGTCTCTTTTAAGTCTGTTTTCTTGGGCAACATAGTCCAATTCGTCGTATCGTCTAGTCGCGACGGTGTTGGCCTTCACGCCTGGCTGGACATTCTTTCACTAAAACTTGACAAGAATAAAAAGCAGGAGAAAGCAGGGCAGGGAAATAATGGGACGATGACACCAATTCATAACCCGTAACGGAGACAAAGATAGGGCGACACTGAATAAATAAAAATGTTCTAATGCCATAAGACGAACGTTACAACATCATCATCGCCGCCCACGAGAAAATAAGTAAAAATAGTGACGCTCCGCATAGCCGGTGGCACTTGGCATCAGTCTTCTTTTTTTACTATGAACATGCTTTAGATAAAGTCAAGTGTGTGCATGGAATTCATAATTTGGATTATGCTTTGCTGACGTGATGAAGGAAAATTTATGAATGAAATTAAATTACGTAACGCAAGAGCGCTTAGAAACTCGTACTGATTAATTGGTTTTAACTAACGATTTATGTTTTCTCTTGCAGCATTTACTGTGAGATTCTTGACGCGGAAATTCATCGGAGAGTACAAGTCCAACACAGGTAAAAATGAGTACTTAACTTATTTTTATAAATATTTCCGTTCATCTAGTTAGGGTAAAAAAGGGTAGGATCGAATCTCCCCAAAGTTCGAAAAAAATTTTTGAGGGCATCGTCTGCCTAATGTCGCCGTATTGTATAACTCTCTGTACCATGTTCCCAGCTCGTGACCAGAGTCAACTGCAGCAAAAAAAAGCTATTTGCTAGAGTAATATTCTGCAATTTTGCACACATGAATCTACTGTTGAGTTTAATCGCATGTACGTGACTTTGGCCAAAGTGCAAAAAATTGAATAAATTGGCGGAATTTTTATCGCTGAACCCGCTGTTAAATCAACTTTCTCCCAAAATTATGCGGCGGCACGCTGAAGCTGGACTCAGGCAATGTTGGTCAGGCTGGACTTGAGACTCACGAAGTTTTTAATGTGGGCAAAAATTTAATCATATTTGAGATAAACCGACAAATATCAGATATTTTACCCTTGATCGCAAGGAGCTTAGTATTTATGGCAATATTTTCTATTCTATTAAAACCTGAGGCAGTCCAAGTTGATAAAAAATAGTTAACAGAATAACAGAATAGCCGAATTATCCAGAGTCTGGGTGGGCGATGCGACAGGCCATCTTCATATGTACTAGATTTTATCCAAGCTATATCAGTAGATCATCCTTCACTAGGTCGGGATTGCATAGGAGCAGGATGAGTGGGAATTATTGCGTGTGCAATGTTTTGGCTCACCGTGTTACGTATCGAGTTGTATAATCGTACTGCATACTCGTACAGATTCGAAACTGACAAGGAAACCCAAACACCTAAAAATAACTTTAGCATGACGATGTTGGAGTTGATATGAAGAAATGCGACGGCAAGGAGACAGTCTCAACTTGCCTCATCACAATTTCATTGGCCATTATTGCCCGTCTCACTTCATACTTTCCTTGCTATGTACATAGACTTAAGTGAATTCAATTATTTTTCGTGGACTACGTGATGATGATATCGTCTCAAGTTCTTGTTTCAAATGTATTGACTACACTTAAGGGGTGCGTGACACTAATAAGCAAAATTGCGAAAGTTTCCAAGTATTCAGTAAACCTTAGTGTCTACAAGGAGACAGACCAATTTGTGTACATTTCCCATTTCACAACTTTCTCCACTTTCTTTCGCATAACCTACCACAAAATTAATGTCGTTTCACACGAAAGGGTAAAGTTTGAGGTCAATGTAACGTGTCTCAAAGTGTGCACATCAATTACGCAGCCACTCACTTATGCGAAAAGCCATTTACTTGACTAACCACAAATTTCCTTCTTGCTTTCTCCACAGATTTGCTCTACCGTCAAACACTCGCCATCAGCCACGGGAGCTCTCTCGACATCGAAATCGTCGACATTTCCACCTCCTTCGTGGACGGGGCTGAATGCATCGAGCGTAAAACTTTCCCTGTCGAAGAACTCTATCGCGCCGACGGATTCATCATCGTCTATTCCATCACGGACCGAAGCTCGTTCGAGACAGCGATGCAGGCTCTCAGGGATATTCAAAAAATCCGCAATATTTACAAACCTCCGACGACTGAAAATGGGAATTCATCGAGAACGACTCCACCTCCCCCCACAAATACGAAGTTAGGTCCCCCCGTTCACGTCACCCTCATCGGGAACAAATGTGACCTAGTGCATCAACGAACCGTGGACCGACTTGAAGGGGTGGGGGCGGCGGAGAAGTTCGGGTGTCAATTTTACGAGCTGTCCGTGGCGGAGAACTCGCCCGAAGTTTATTCCAGTTTCCACTCGATAATCACTTCACTCATCGCCACCAACGTTCCGCCGCCCAAGCGGAAATTCTCCGTGAGCAAGATGCTGGCCAGTCTGCGCCTCGGGAAGAATTCGCCCTCCAACGCGAGCCCAGTCCCCATCGCGCCCGCCTCCATCGCGGACACCAACGTCGTCACCAACGACGCCGCCTCCTTCCCGAATTCTCCAGCGGGGAGCAGAGAGGGCAGTCCGGGCGTGAGTGGGTCGTCGAAGGGGGCGAAGCATGAGCGCCAAGGGTCGGGCGACTCGACGTCTTCGTTCACTTCCAGCATTTGTCAGCTCAAATCGAAGCTCGTGGTTTTCAATTCCATGAAAAAGAGGCAAAGCTCACCACCCATTTGTTCCCTGTAAATTTATTACCGTCAGACTGTCGCCGATTTCGTTTATGCATTCTTTGATTTATACTTTCCAGATTAATTAGTTAGAACTTTTTTTAAACATTATTTTTATTACGTTTTATACAACAATTGTACCTAATTTATAGACTGTGTGATGGCATGAAAGTTCAATTATGTGTACCTTGATTTACGATTATAAATATATTTTTTGCTGAAAATTGTCGTAGTTTTAATGAAATTCATTACCTGAAACATAAATAAGTTCTTGATTGAAGTGAAAATTTGGGTTGATTTGATTACCTGTATAATAATTATGAAGGAATTGCTGACAAGCAAAGCTATTAAAATTTGTATGTAAATCAGGATGACGATGTCTCAATGTGAAGAAATATTAATAAACATTCTCAAACTTTAATAAAATCGTATATATTTGTCCTTATTTTCGGTTTTACACATAATTTAATCAACCATGCATTATACATGTTAGTAGTTTTATTCCTTCAAGTTTAAGATTTTAATTTTCATTCAGTTAAGAGAAAAAGAATTCATAAGCGTATAAGGATCCTGTTAGAAAGAGAAGACACATAAATCTCAAGAAGTGAAAGCAGCAACTGCACTGAATTTTCCAAAACTAACCGTGGATTTTCCCAAAAAATTTTAAGACAAATTTTCCTCTTTTTCTATACATGTCTTGAACGTATTCGAAATATTGACTAAATTAAAAGTTTTCTCATTTTCCTCTAAAACTTCTCTACGATCCAAATTAATAATGCATGATGGATGGAATGATATCAAAAAACGTAAACGTGAAGGTTGTCAGTCATGATACATAAATGTTACAAAAAACCATGTCAAACATTGAGGGGGCTTAAAGTTGACATTTTCATTTGTGATGAAAATACTCTACATAAGTTATTCCATCTCGCAGAATTCACATGCATGTAGATATCACAGGGTTTACATTCGAGTGGCAGTGTAATCTCCTCCAGACATGATATGATTTGTCCAAGGCACAAAAATTCCTACAGAAAATTTAAACCTGACCTACTTACCTAATCTTTAAAGTACATAGTTAGGTACATTACAATTTAAGCAACTGCCAGGAACAGAAAGAGATAAGATGAATGATACGATAATGTAGCACAATCTGGACAGTAAATCTGCACAACGTCTCTACCGACCAGCATTCTTGTCACGATTTTACCCCTTGATCCAATTTACGTGAACATACATACGCGATTCACATAAAAGGCTTATCTAGATTTGTTTTTTGAACAGGAATAATGTGATCCAACAAGAAAAACAAAACAAGGAAGGAGCCACTGAAAGTAAATAACAACAGAAAAACACGGTGTCTCATCCTTGTTTATCAAATTAGTTTATCTCCTTGTTTATCAAATCTTATCATTACACAGCATCGCCCCTTGTTTCACGTAACAGCGAGCATGAAATGGAAATTGGCCCGTATTTGTAAATAAATAATAAAATGAGAGTTAGATAATCAGAGCGCTATCCGCAAACAAGGTGACTTTGCTTGCACACTAATAAAATTGGAATTTCGTACCCAATCGAGCATGAACTTTCTCCGGAGGATGCCACACCACACACATAAACAAAGTTGGATTGGATTCGGTTGCTCTTATTTCCGCAAAAAAATGCCAAGTTTTCTTGGAATCGGGTTCAACTTATTTATTTGTCGACACACCCACTCGACCCAAAAAAAATTTTGCATTGTTCTTTGTACAATACAAGTCATATAAATAAGGGAAGAGAGTAGGTCAGTTCGTACGGCTGCGGGTAAGTATTTTCTTAATCCGGCGTATATAATGATTTAGTTTATTTCACTTTCACGACCCCCATTTGACTTCTTCCTTGGCTTCTTGACTTTACACACATTTCCGGAATAATGGTGCACGTCTGATGTCGTGAATACCAATTTTGGTAACGTATATACGTAATCGTCCCTTCTGCACCATAAATTCGGTCTGCCCCACTTAGAAATGCAGTCCACTCACTTATTGTCCCCGTGTCGATGTCGAGCTTATCGACGCGATGCCAAGTAGTATGACCGACTTTGGAGATGAGGTTCCACCTTTTTTTTAAAGTTGGACCGAATTGTGGCCAAATTTCGAATTTGCTATCGTCAGTTAAACCCAGTTTTGTAGAAAATGTTCATTTAACATGACAAGGAAGAATTAATAGCCCTCGCCTCTGTTCCCATGTTTTCAAGTAGGTTTTCCTTTATAATGGGTGGTTTCTACAGTCTGGAAAAAACGGATTTTTACAACTACTAGTGCCCCACTTTTTTACAATTTCACTAGTGAAAGGTACTTGAAGATGACGATGGGTTCTGAATTCTTTATGTGGCTGTAAAGAGATGGACAAAGAGAAAGTCTTAAGAAATAGGTAATGACAATGCGGATTCATTCAGTACCAAGAATAATGCTCGTAGACGTTCTAAATAGCTTCTTGTTAAAGTTAAGAAACTGCAGTAAAAAAAATAGTTCGGGAGAAAACCCGCCTTGTTACATAACAGATATTAGCTAGTCGTGTGTGTAGTTTTGAAAATGTAATTTTGTCGAGTAGTAGATTAGAAAGTGTAGTTCAGGTCGTTGTGTGAGCAGAATTACGTAATTCCAGTAATGCAGACTACGAGTGGGTGGGAAACTTGCAGTTTTACTTGGGTTTCTAACACGGTGTTTTTGAGTTTCTTTGCGGTTATTCCACGGCTGAATAAATTTTACCCAATTGTTGTGTCATCCACTACTTTACTAAACCTCAGGTAAAGTTTATAAAAGTTTATTTTGAGAGGGTTTCTACGTAAAGCAGGGCGTTTTAGGTGCACTGTCAAGAATCCTGACCTGGCCAACGCCTTTCTTTTCTTCCTCATGCTCCTTTCACTTTCTTGAAAAAGAAAATTAGCAATAGAAATGAAAATTTAGTAGTTTATTTCTGTCCTTTAGCGAAATCGTATGAACACATCTATGTATGCAGAATCAGTTTATTATGCATATGGTTTAGGAATAGGTAATTTTCGTCGTGCAAATAAATTTCTTCGTGCAAAATTTTAGTTGTGAAACATTTATTAAAATCACTTTGTTTTTTAGAAATACAAATTACGATGAATATTTTAAGTACCTAATGTAGATCTACCATTCAGATTTTCTAAAATGACTAAAATTTGACATGCTTACTTTCACCAGCTACATATCTATATTTATAAATGTAAATACTATAAGATAGATTGACACATTTAAATTCAACGTTAAAAAAATTATAAAAAAATATGTATAAATATTTACGAAAAATAATAGTCTGCAAGAAGATAACACATCATCGCATGGGCAAATTTAACTTGCTTGAGGTACATGAAACACAGTATCAATCAGCAACGAACTTCTCGGCTCAATCAACCAGGTACGTTTCATTCTTCGGTTATTACAACTGACGAAGTCTCAATTTTCACTCGTTGAACTCTCATTCTTTCCACCATTAGCACAAAATAATGTAGGTATATGAAGCAATTAAGGTACACGGTAATAACGTATCAAATTATGTCTATAGATTTATGAGTGCAGATAACATGAAGAAATAAATTATGTACACATTGTGCAAATACTAATTGGAATAGAACTGAGAACAATATCAATATCATCACCATTATGCTTCAAATTACGAGTACAACGTGGCTCAAAGGGAACAAATGGGTGGTGAGCTTTGCCTCTTTTTCATGGAATTGAAAACCACGAGCTTCGATTTGAGCTGACAAATGCTGGAAGTGAACGAAGACGTCGAGTCGCCCGACCCTTGGCGCTCATGCTTCGCCCCCTTCGACGACCCACTCACGCCCGGACTGCCCTCTCTGCTCCCCGCTGGAGAATTCGGGAAGGAGGCGGCGTCGTTGGTGACGACGTTGGTGTCCGCGATGGAGGCGGGCGCGATGGGGACTGGGCTCGCGTTGGAGGGCGAATTCTTCCCGAGGCGCAGACTGGCCAGCATCTTGCTCACGGAGAATTTCCGCTTGGGCGGCGGAACGTTGGTGGCGATGAGTGAAGTGATTATCGAGTGGAAACTGGAATAAACTTCGGGCGAGTTCTCCGCCACGGACAGCTCGTAAAATTGACACCCGAACTTCTCCGCCGCCCCCACCCCTTCAAGTCGGTCCACGGTTCGTTGATGCACTAGGTCACATTTGTTCCCGATGAGGGTGACGTGAACGGGGGGACCTAACTTCGTATTTGTGGGGGGAGGTGGAGTCGTTCTCGATGAATTCCCATTTTCAGTCGTCGGAGGTTTGTAAATATTGCGGATTTTTTGAATATCCCTGAGAGCCTGCATCGCTGTCTCGAACGAGCTTCGGTCCGTGATGGAATAGACGATGATGAATCCGTCGGCGCGATAGAGTTCTTCGACAGGGAAAGTTTTACGCTCGATGCATTCAGCCCCGTCCACGAAGGAGGTGGAAATGTCGACGATTTCGATGTCGAGAGAGCTCCCGTGGCTGATGGCGAGTGTTTGACGGTAGAGCAAATCTGTGGAGAAAGCAAGAAGGAAATTTGTGGTTAGTCAAGTAAATGGCTTTTCGCATAAGTGAGTGGCTGCGTAATTGATGTGCACACTTTGAGACACGTTACATTGACCTCAAACTTTACCCTTTCGTGTGAAACGACATTAATTTTGTGGTAGGTTATGCGAAAGAAAGTGGAGAAAGTTGTGAAATGGGAAATGTACACAAATTGGTCTGTCTCCTTGTAGACACTAAGGTTTACTGAATACTTGGAAACTTTCGCAATTTTGCTTATTAGTGTCACGCACCCCTTAAGTGTAGTCAATACATTTGAAACAAGAACTTGAGACGATATCATCATCACGTAGTCCACGAAAAATAATTGAATTCACTTAAGTCTATGTACATAGCAAGGAAAGTATGAAGTGAGACGGGCAATAATGGCCAATGAAATTGTGATGAGGCAAGTTGAGACTGTCTCCTTGCCGTCGCATTTCTTCATATCAACTCCAACATCGTCATGCTAAAGTTATTTTTAGGTGTTTGGGTTTCCTTGTCAGTTTCGAATCTGTACGAGTATGCAGTACGATTATACAACTCGATACGTAACACGGTGAGCCAAAACATTGCACACGCAATAATTCCCACTCATCCTGCTCCTATGCAATCCCGACCTAGTGAAGGATGATCTACTGATATAGCTTGGATAAAATCTAGTACATATGAAGATGGCCTGTCGCATCGCCCACCCAGACTCTGGATAATTCGGCTATTCTGTTATTCTGTTAACTATTTTTTATCAACTTGGACTGCCTCAGGTTTTAATAGAATAGAAAATATTGCCATAAATACTAAGCTCCTTGCGATCAAGGGTAAAATATCTGATATTTGTCGGTTTATCTCAAATATGATTAAATTTTTGCCCACATTAAAAACTTCGTGAGTCTCAAGTCCAGCCTGACCAACATTGCCTGAGTCCAGCTTCAGCGTGCCGCCGCATAATTTTGGGAGAAAGTTGATTTAACAGCGGGTTCAGCGATAAAAATTCCGCCAATTTATTCAATTTTTTGCACTTTGGCCAAAGTCACGTACATGCGATTAAACTCAACAGTAGATTCATGTGTGCAAAATTGCAGAATATTACTCTAGCAAATAGCTTTTTTTTGCTGCAGTTGACTCTGGTCACGAGCTGGGAACATGGTACAGAGAGTTATACAATACGGCGACATTAGGCAGACGATGCCCTCAAAAATTTTTTTCGAACTTTGGGGAGATTCGATCCTACCCTTTTTTACCCTAACTAGATGAACGGAAATATTTATAAAAATAAGTTAAGTACTCATTTTTACCTGTGTTGGACTTGTACTCTCCGATGAATTTCCGCGTCAAGAATCTCACAGTAAATGCTGCAAGAGAAAACATAAATCGTTAGTTAAAACCAATTAATCAGTACGAGTTTCTAAGCGCTCTTGCGTTACGTAATTTAATTTCATTCATAAATTTTCCTTCATCACGTCAGCAAAGCATAATCCAAATTATGAATTCCATGCACACACTTGACTTTATCTAAAGCATGTTCATAGTAAAAAAAGAAGACTGATGCCAAGTGCCACCGGCTATGCGGAGCGTCACTATTTTTACTTATTTTCTCGTGGGCGGCGATGATGATGTTGTAACGTTCGTCTTATGGCATTAGAACATTTTTATTTATTCAGTGTCGCCCTATCTTTGTCTCCGTTACGGGTTATGAATTGGTGTCATCGTCCCATTATTTCCCTGCCCTGCTTTCTCCTGCTTTTTATTCTTGTCAAGTTTTAGTGAAAGAATGTCCAGCCAGGCGTGAAGGCCAACACCGTCGCGACTAGACGATACGACGAATTGGACTATGTTGCCCAAGAAAACAGACTTAAAAGAGACTAAAGTTCTTTAACGTAGCAATGTCTTATTTATTAAGCAACTTGCCATAAAGTGCAAACTTTCACTACATATTCCCCTTGAAATTAAAGTCGTTGTGACGTGATGACCTTTAAATTTTGTTGTCTTTCTTCCCAACAACGGGAGCGAGACAATTAAGGCCGTTTCGCTTTGTGTAGTGACCAAGAAAATATGTAGAAGAAGAAATTTAGGAACGACATATTTTGACATTCGTCACAGCAGGAGAAAGTAATCAAATTCTTATGAATTATGTACAAGCGAGCAGGGATAAATTCTGTCAATTTTAGTGGAGTGTAAGGTATCCAAACCAGACATTGGAAATTATTAGAGGATTTCGTAGAAATTTACACACGAACCATGACCAAAATCTAGTTGAAAATGTGGAATAGGAATTAATTTTCGTGCTATGTATTTTGGACAGTGTTTCTGCTGTTAAATAACACCTGCACGAAATTAGTGCACGAAAATGTTTTTAAACGTTTAATAACACCCACTAGAAATCCGAAAAAGTGCATGAAAATGCACGAAAATGCACGAAAATAATTTACGTACAAATAATATTGGAATAATGCAATTTTTCTAAATATTCGATTAATTGAGAAATCGATGTGCTATTTATGATATTTTCCTCACCATTTTAGTATTTTTTAGTATATAAATATTTTTCATTCTTCAATACAAAAAATGAACGGCTGAATACGTGCTTGTATTTTATAGCAAAAAAATACGTGTCATTTGTTTGAAATTTTCTTGCCGAATAATAATTCCGTGTTACTCGATATGTGTACCAAATTCCAAATACCTAGATAGGATAAGTTTTGCTAGCGCATTCAATGGCAACTATGATGGATACATAAGCTGCGACTCGGGCTACAAAGTGGTGTGGTAAGGTTTGAACCAGTGTAAAGGCTCAGATAACTGAATCTTACCCCCATTTGACAGGGTAGGAAAATATAAAATTTCTTGAAAATATGAAATTTCCTGCATAAATTGCAATTTATTTATTATTATGCATTTTCATGCATTTTCGTGCATTTTCGTGCATTTTTAGGCGTTTTTATGCATTTTTGTGCATTTTTATGCACCATGCATGCATAAAAATAATTTCGTGCGCACAAAAAGAAACACTGATTTTGGAGTTATTCAAGTTGCGATAGTTTACAAATGCACTAAATACTCGAGTTTAGCAAGTACTTAATGAACAAATTTAAATTTAGGTGTATGTCTAATGGTATGCAAAACATAAGCTGAGGAACTTGACATTCGTAAATACGAATATTTTTAAGGTTAGTAGGTTGCAGAATGTGCACTTTTCTCGGAAAATGATTGGCACCCAATTTACATAACTACACACATCCGTATTTAGCTAGCTCATAATGGACATCACGCGCCTCAGTTTCCCGTGAAATCTTCAATTTTTTAACGAACAAGGATTCTTTTGTGATGAAATGGTATAGAATTTGGGTCAGAAATTGAAGTTTTGCACGATTCGAGTAATTTTTAGAGGCGGAAAAGAACCTGACTTGGTATTTCTTTGCAATGTTTATTTATTTTTGGGGAAAGTCAAGGTTGGGTCGCTTCGTTTTCTTCGCCCCTCATCATTACATCAAAACGATCTAATTGCCACTAAAATCCACCTTTATCGCCATCATCACAAAACCCTTCATCCATAGAAAGACACACTATAAACATATCTTCAAGGACAGAATCAATGGACGTTAAAGTGCACTTCTGTGTGACCACCCGAAATTCACTTAGAATCGGATTATCAAAATAGTTGTTCAGGGTCAGGTTGGACCTTGGCCGTGAATGAATGAGCCTGATCGTTGACCGCTTCTTTATGGATGGTTTCATAAGATGCTAAAAAACTTGGTGGCTGTCATAACAGAGGAGTCACAGAGATAAAAAGGGCAAGGTTACGACCACAATCGTCAAATCCTGCGATTTATATTTCGACGAGACTTATTACTTTTAGGGAAAATCCGTCTCAAGCTTTGTGGTTCAAGATGCATAAGTGTTTTATTTGGTGGAATGGAATGATTAAATCAGAGACTCAACGAGACTTTATTAACGATACCGTCATTATGTCATCTATAATAGCTGAAGGTTGTTATTCAATACTGAGAAAAATATTCTTGGAACATTTGTCAGGAGATCAAATATTGCCGACAAAAAGTGTCGTCAGTGAACAATTTATATTTGGAAATAATAAGCTTGATTAGATCATACCACAGATTTAAAATTCTCGCTTTGAAAATTCCTAGTAGTGCCATGATGGCACTGCCATCATGGAACTGTCATCCAGATTTTGCTGACTAGTTGGTGTCGCAAAAAATAATTAGTTGGGGTTTAACTCATATCGAAGGAATAAACACGGTCGTAGAAATGAACGAAATAGTTCAGGCAGATTATGTTGACGCTAAAACCATATGCAAAAACCAAGGCTTCCACTTATCATTTTCCGAGTATGACGATGAGACATGATTAGTACTCGAATTATTTCACTTGGCTCCGCACCTTGGTCTCTTTCAAACGACGACTTCATATTAATGACGCCGTTACGACCATGACGAAGGCCTTGCCTTTGTTGTATTTTTACTCCTGCTTTCTCTTTGCTTCGTTAATTATGATTTAAATTGAACATTCATTTTCAACATTTTAAAATTGTTAAATGTCAAAAGTTTTTCTATAATTAAATTCTACAGATATTTAAGCATTTCTATTTTATATAGTCATTGACCATGGGAAATGATCAGCCGGATTTGTTTCCGTTGCATTTCCTATGCTTTCAACACAGGAGAGATATCACAAAAAACTCCTTTTAACGACGATAATTAACGACGGTATACATTTAAGCATCAGATTGAAAGTTTACTTGTGTGATTTGGACGCCATAAAATTTTACTGAGATTATTGAGATTGAATTTTATAGTCAAGATGTCTCCGGTTTATCAAATGCATTCTAATGTGACGTTTAGGAGCACTAATTATTGAATCTCGGACGGATAACTTTCACTCGGCTTTCACTTGGCATCTTCAGGGCTATGAACCCTCCCAATTAAGCTGCGAAAGCTCAAGGTCCCCCACCCAGAACAAGTTTACTCTCAAACAATTAAAAAACTATCCATCTTAATCTAAACAGCATTTATTTGTAATCCGAAATTAAAAGTAGCAAACAAAGGGAACTTTCTCTTAAAAGTAAAACTACGAATAATTTTAGCACGAATTAATGCTTTTCAAATTGACCTGAGTAATCTCAACGTAGGTCGATTTCTAAGGTAAACTTATTTTTACCCAAACTTTTCACGTTCTGCCCACGCCTCTAAATAATATTGCCACCAGATCAGAAACGAACGCAGACACCAAGGGTAATTGTACAACGAATGAAACCTACGATGCATGTGCGCATCAAACCAACATTATTTTTAGGTGGTGATAAAACATGCCAAGTTTTGTGTTATCTTTGGGCAAGATGTGATTCTGTTTGTGGTGAAACAGGCGTTGTGATCAGTTTCGAATTAACTAATAATATCTAGAGGATGAAGTTATAAACCTGTGAAGTTCACAGATGAAAGTGACTCAATCATGAAAAAATATTCCGTATTGGGTGGATATCCATTAATTTGTTTAGTTCAGTTCAAAGTCAACTGTCTGCTCATAAAATATTTTACCAGAGAGCAACATTTCAACCTGGTTTAATTACACGGCATTATCCTACCCTCTAAAATATTACATCTGTCGCTGAACTTATTCAAGAAGTTGCAATGCGTGATTTTTCACACTAAATATGCGTCACATGAGAATTACAAATATATATAAAAATTTGACGAGTTTCAATTGAGCCATACCTGACTTTCCGACGTCGTGTTGTCCAAAAACGGCGATTCTCTGCTTGCCGATAGCCGGGCCGCTTATCGTCGGTGCTTTGCCACCTTTTTCTTCTCCGTGCCGGTACATCCCTATTTTCACCAAAGGGCCAAATTGTGTTATATCACAAGTTGTAGGATTTCAATGTAAATATCGGTTTAAGTATTTTGCTAATGTTGACTACAGCTCAGAGTACACAGTGAATAAAATTATGGCACCAACAAACAAGTATATTTATGCAATTTGACTGACGATGAGGTGCTTCGCTTACTCCGAAAGATAGCTGAAGACTGAAACCGAGTTCAACTCTTACCCTGGTAAAGAACGGTTAGAACTGTTGCAGAAGATACCCGGGTATTACATTATTCCGTTGAACTAAAGTTGGAAGTAAGAGAGACGGGAGCTAAAGCCATTGGATAGAGAAGGATGAAGAGACTGGGAAGCAAGCAGAGCACAATGCCATGATTTTGCGAAACGGGGAATTTGCGAATTTTGGAAGGCTTGCTTATGCATGGCGTGGTTTGCTTCGCCAAATCCACAGGTTTGTTGTGTAGTGCATTCGTGCACGCAGGTAATGTGGACACGTTAGCGATCAGCAAGCTTAATATATTTTTAAACTGTGTACATAATTATGATGATGCATTTTTTTAAAACGGGGGTGGCAGAAAAAATTCGCCCAACCTACATTTTGAATTTGTTGTGATATCCCACGCAGATTTTGCTGTGATTATTTATCCACACATTTTTGGGCAATTTACACTTTAATTCCGCATTCTTTATATTCAGTTTGTATACATGCAATGTCTCAAAAGTATATACGTCTCAAAAGTTTAAAATACGACGTGGAAACGCTGGATAAACCCTCGTTAAACTTGAAACTCAACAATCAGATGGCAAACGAGGACTTTAAAAATCCAAGTAAAATATAAAAACATGGCAATACCAATACGACGCATTCAATTCACAGTTTTGTTATGTAAGTTGGACCCTGAAATCTGTTGAATGTTGATCATTTTGCTTTATGTGCTCCTCACCATCTGCAGATCTGCTTTGGGCTGGTTCGTGTTCAACATTCCAAGTTTGAGAAACAAACGACATGTTTTTCTTTGCACCCACCAATCGAGCTATTCGTAAATTCGACCAGAAATGTTGTCCAAACTTTCTCAATGAAAAATATCTGAACTTTCTGCAGACATGCGTGCACTCTATTACCGATATTTGGCTTCGTAGAAAAATAGCGTGGGCAGAAGACCTAGTGGTCCTTGTGGTCTGAAATTTATATGAAAATCGCAAATACGTATTTATATGCCTATATGCCCTATTATACGCTTCAAAACTTGTAAAGTGCCCACAATTTTGGAGAATATTTACTTAAAGTGGAGGACTGTCTAAATAAAAATGAGCAAATATGTGGTTCCGGCTTTGTGCATTCAGGTGTAGCGTACTTCCGGTTTGGAAACATTCACTATTCCCATGAGAAGAGCTAAGCGAATAATTTAGTTGTCCCACTTGTTTGATGAGTTACGAGACGGTAACGAAATGACATCCACTTTTATATTACCAAGTTACGAACAAAGTATGTATGTAGGTACCACAAGAGGTTGAATATTTCAATTTTTTCTGGACTTAGCAACATGACTTTTTAGAGAAAATGAGTCAAGACATGAAGTACGGCTCCGCATAACAACAAGAGCATTGGGGTATTTTTAAGAGCTCCCCGAGATGGAGGGGGTGGACTTTGAGGTCATAATGGTTGTTATTTGGAATCATTATATATTTCTGCAGGGTGTATAATCCGTTTATGGGCTCACTTGTGTCAGGTGATGAGATGTGAACCATTTTTGTCCTCAGAAACATAAAATGATATGGAGGGGCAAGTATAGAAATGCTGTTTCGGAAAGTATGGAAGAGAATATGGAAATGAGACCCGTTATGCTCCCCAAGTAAAACTATTTCGCACGATGTGGGAGTCGTCCCACGTTTGAGCTCCGTATGGTTTTGACGCTAGGACGTTTTAAAAAAAATCATCATGGTCGACTATTTTGGCTATAAATACGTAAGTATAAGTAACAGCAAAAGGTGACATTTACCAAAATTTAGAGCAGTAAATTTTTTACAAAATTTGTATTTGAACCAAATTTCTACCTACTATAATTTCTGAGAAAATTACAATCAAAGTTAGTGGTATAATTCCTTGCCAACTCTCTTGTGGTACCTTAAGTATACATAAAGTCAATAAAGTGGGTGAAATTTAGGGCAAACTTTACGCTATAAATTCGACTTGAGGGTACATAAATTACTCAGAATTCATAATACCTGTATATTGTACAATATAATTTACCCAGTGTAAAAATAATCCATTCATCAAATTAACCCAATTTCACCTTGGAATGTTGTTTGGGCAAAATTAACACCCGTGCTTACTCACACATATTTCTCGAGATGTGAATTATTAAATAGTTAGAAATTTAGTCCCAAGAATGGCTTTCCCTGCGCGGAGTGATTAAGCTTTAATTATTGAGCAATGCCAAAGTATGTCAAATTTCTACAATCAATCAAGTTAGAATTCGATTCAATCGAATATTTCCCTGATTAAATGGGCACAACATGTGACTCAGTTTTGTTCTGCGGCATTTAGTAAAATGGTTAAATTATAATTTACCTAGCTTTGTTTACCCAAATTATTATTAGAGTTAAATAAACATGGCATTCCGTGAGAGATTGCTTGAAGGCAAAACCTTATTATTCTTCACCCCTCACGGTTAGGATGATCACAAACGCCAAATACTTAACAAGCACATGTGGCAGCACATATTTAATAGTTCGGAGAAATTCCAGCTAATTCTCAAATGTCACGAGACATGCTCCTTTCACATTTACATATTTACACATTCCGCGTGATGCAATATTTACCTGACCTGTAGTCGACCTCGTTCGTGTCGTCTAATATTTATTGCGAAACGTACGAAATTTCTACGAATTATTTGTCGTTGTCATTTCTACCGTAACTTTCTCCAAGTAGAAAGCATCGAAGAAAAGAATTCGCTCAGTTGTTCGCTTAAGGAGATGGCAACGCTCTATGGTGCAATATTTATTTAGTAACGATACTACGAAATAGGTGTACGAATCGATTTTCGTAGAATAGTAGAATTACTATAAGTAGTTTAATTAAGTAGATTTTGCTATCTATTTAATCTTCCCAGGCCATGACATACATACCAGAAAATTGGAGTATACTACAATTAACATTATCGCGAGATTACCGTAGGTCTTGATTAGTGGACGTCCATTGAATAATTTAATGTACCTTTGTTTATCTCGTAATTATATGCAATTTATAAGTGCGTAAATTGAGTCAACTATAGTACATGCTCAAGCTTACTATAAGCATTAACTGCTACTTTAGTTTTTTTTTATATTCTTTGTTACAAGACCTCCATGTTCAGATTTTCACACCTGTATTGTTCTTAAGAACAGCATGAAAACAGACAATATTTGCGATACTAGTCATGTCAAGTATTTTTATTTTGCAACGCGCTACACAAAATTTCAAAGATTTGCACATAATGTCACTCAATATTTGTTGATGACTGTGACGTGCTTTCTCCACGTTGTAACAGATTTATTTGAGATTTCCAAATGTTTTACTTTAAAATACGTCATTTTAAACAAATGTACAAAACAACAAGCTTTCCAAGCTCTTTCACGTCGTAGAAAAGATGAATGATAATTTTGCATATTTACTATTTTTTCCATTTACTTATTCACCCTTCTTATCCAGTCACAGATTACGATCCTGTCACGTATGTTTTTACGTCAACGTGTTATTGCTATTGTTATCGTAAAAATGGTCAGGCAGCGACGAGCAGCCCAGAATCCAATCCAATCCATGCATGAAAGGACGACAGCGAAGGTTGAATCGTCGTTAGCAATGACAAACGGTTACAAAAGCAAGGTTTGCTGAAGGTGAAAGCGGTGACAGGTGGCTTCCAACAACTTCATCGAGCTCGTCGTTCATCCAATTCGTCAATGCATGGCTTGGATTACACAACTTTCTCAATTCTGTGACCACTAACATCCATGCAGCCGAGAAACGAAGAAGTGAGTCCCGAAGGGAGATTTCTTCTTGCACAACTTCATTCATCCCGCAGAGCTGACCGAAATGTAAATGTTTACACTTTGAGACACGATCCTGATGTGTGAAAGTGGAAGCCACGCTGTCTGCCACGATCCCAGCACAGGTGAAAGGCTTATTTATTGTACATGATTTTGCATGAGATGAATGATCCGATATTTTGTTTATTTTCCTCCGTGCAACACTACCTATTTATGACAGATAAGTTATCAGCCTGTGTTTATTTGCCTTACGTGTTGCTGCATGCAATTTGTGCATGATTTGGTTAACCAAACAGGTGCACTTTCGTTTGGTTATTTCCACGGGACGAATATCCCAGCAAATCTTTTTATTCGATTTTTTTTCTCAATATGCAGCTACAATTATTTCTAATCTTAAGCAAATAATTCCCTGGCGAGCATTTGTCATGCGAATTTAGTGCAATCTGTTTAGCTAGAAAGATAGTTCCAGAAAGGCACTACTAATAATCAGGCACTCTGCAGTTAAACTCTGCGAAACCGCTTTCACGCAGTCTCATCCGGATTAATTGTCTGAATGTGAATTTTAACATTGACATAACCTCGTCACTGGAATGACTAAATTTCCACACGTCAACATAACACCCATAATAAATCATCTGAAAAATAATTTTTCATATATGAAAATAAAGTATACTTTTTTAATTTTTATTAAGAGAAAGTACAGAATTGTTACTGAACCTCCCAATCTTCACACCTCCCAATCTTCAATCTCCTTTACATTGAACTCATCCCATTATTGAAGCGCACAACTACTACTCAGGTCTTGGCAAACATTTTGCTTTCACCTTTGTCGATCCTGTCGAAGAGAAAGTTAATTCAGGCTACGAAAAGATTTATGAGAAATGCGATGAAACACAGTGAATTGCTCACTTCGTTTTAGTTTAGTGCCCAAATTTTACTTTGTGTGCAACCGGACTACTCACAAAAAGAAGTGTTTCAGTATGTAAACTAAATCATTTCACTGTATTGAACATCCGTAAAACAAATTCTAAAACTAGGTCGCAGAGTCGATCTGACAAGTTCTTTCACTTTTAGCCGTGTTTCTAATTTTTGTCTATAAGAATATACAGATCTGCACCCGAAGAAAGGTTAAACCGATTCGGTCGAAGAGATCTTCTTGCATTTAAGCTAGATAGAGTTATAAGTCT